AATAATAGTAACAATAATAATAGCAACAGCAGCAGAAGTAGTAACAATAGTAGCAGCAGCAGCAGGAGCAGCAGCAAGAGTCGTCACCGTTGTCCGCGAATCGTTGCAGTAGCTGACACAAGGAACACTAACAATCGAAGCCGAAGCAACAGCTCTAGGGAGCAAAGAGCAAATGACAGGATTCGCGCTTTGTCGCTACCATAAGTGCATCGTGTAGACTGCGCAAGATTCCTATGATGGCGCAGTTGGCGCCACAAGATTTGCTAGTACCGCTAATATCTGCCAATGCTGCTAATGAGTGCCGATGGAGCGCAGGAAGCGCCGGTGCTGCCAAACACGGCTACAAGCTGTTGGAGCCGTGTTGTCGCCAACAACCTGCTGGTCTCCGAGAGTGTTCGCCCGCAAGGACAGGGCAGGCATCATGGGTTCGTGATGAGATCGGCAGGGTACATATTGCAAATCTCGAGTTTCGCCCCATCGTTTCAATTCTCTGGACCGGTCTGGAGCATCATAAGCACTGCCGCCACACGCATGACGCGTTAAAGGGCCAGAAACCTGCATGGAGACAGGGAGCGCGCACGTGCACGAAACCAAATGCATGCAGGACCCCGGTCCGGCGCTCGATGTTTTCAAACTACACAAGAACTACATTAATTGGGGTTCGCTTTTTTCGTGCGGCGTGGAGACAAAACCAGATTTGCCTGCAACACTCCAACAAGTTGTCCGACGACCTGGCTTAGTCCTGTGAGCACTTTTGGCAGTTGTGCTGTGAATCCTGTCACAGTTTGCTCTGTCCGACTGTGGAGCCAGACGCAGTCCGGCTGCAAAACAAACCCCATAAAGCGCCCACCCAAAACAATACGTAGCAAGCGTGTGACCCTCAAACGAGTGACTCCAATTGCACTCGGGCCCCCGACGACCACCATGCTTCTCTAGCAGTCGGGTCTGATCTCTGCATGACCTCGCGGACAGCTACATCTGGAGAAGAGTGAGTTGTTCGACAAATTTTAATCTATGCATCCCTGATCCTTGCACTGAGCAGTACCAAGTTTATGTTGCACAACCCGAGAACAGTCACTTCAAAGGGTTGAGCAAGGCGATCGGATGCAGAGAAGCAGCTCCGACAACCCTTCTGCTGAGGATGAGTCTAGATACGTACGAGCCGAAGTTCTTGAAACATCCCAGCCTTGATCTTCTCAACCAGAGCGGCCTTCTGCTCATCACCATACTGACAGACACACGCAGCTTAGGTGGATTACGGAATGTAGGCCCGTCATGGACAGAAGAGACACAAACCTACATCAAGCAAGCATCGTGAAAGCCGCAAGGTCCTCCGCAACTGGAGTTTCAAATCGCGGCCTGTTGCGGGTCTTTGCATGATGGAATCGCTTTGATCTCTGTTAGGTTTGCTGTGGTGTCCAGATTCCTACCTTCGTTGAACTGTTGCCGCCTTCATCGCTTGCAGACCTACTAGTAGGCATGGTGAGCCGCACTTTTTGCTCATGGAGAGCTGCGAGCCGGAAGATGACAGCCGAGGAATGTGGGAGGGGCGCAATTCCATCAGGCCTTTTAGTTGGCGGTGCTTCTACTGCTGCGCCGCTCAGCTCCAGCTCTCGCCTAAGGCAGCGCGATGACGCGAAACTGCAAAACTTAACCGGCTGGGAGCAAGGCAATGCAGTCTCGCCAACGAAATCAATGAATTGCCGCAAAAAGTTCCTGGCACAACTTGGCAGCATCTGCTGGGCTCGGCTAGCCCTTGCAGCAACTTCGCCTAACGAGGACAGCAAGCCTTCCCTGCACAAGAGGCGCGAGCATGGCGACTGCTTCTAGACCTGCTTCAAAACCGGCATCGCGACTGCCGCTTAATGTGGTTTGCTGCTGCTGCTGCTGCTGCTGCTGCATTACGAGTGGCAGTGGCCGCTCCTGCTGATGAATTGTTTGTTCGCTATCCTAACTCGGATGGGCTAAGGTGCAGCTTCTAGCCACGGGTTGACACACAGATAGTCTAGACACAGCAATACACTCAATGTTGGCACGACACTGGAGCACTTTGCGGTGCTGAAACGAAAAGAGTTGTCATGCATCTGTCCCATACCCAGCCAACCCTGCACCTTCTCCAAAGCCTAACCAGCTAGACCGTCCAACCTTCAAATTCCAACTGACGAAGGAACCAGGACAGCAGACGGGAACTCATCGTAACCGCTGAACATGGGCAAAGTTCCAACCATCCCGGCAACACCTTGACTACAACATAGCCAGGCTCGCTCTGGATGCTTTGTGGGATCGTTGACGGCGTTTCCGTAGGCAGCGCAGAATGTCTGACCAGCACAGGCACGGGGGCAACTTGCACGACAAGTCTGACTCATTGTTCAGCACAGGGCAGTCCACACTGAAGCAGAGCCGACTTGACAATTTCATCAGACTGCTTTCGCACGCAGCTCCCCCTAGCACGGCGTTCAGTACTGCAAATCGGGTCCGTGCTGGCGCGCCTGCCACGCAGCTCGCCAGTTTGGCGAGGTCCTGGAGGAAGGAAGCGGCACGTAGAGCTCTACAAGGCCGATTGAAAGCACGGCGGGCCTCTGCCCGACCTTCACGACCTCTGCCATGGGGTTCAATGGAGTTGGAGCAGCCATTACTGGCCTTGGCTGACACCGCAGCAAGTAGAACGAGCGCAATGTTCCTCTGTGGCTCTGGCCGAGCTGACGGAGTTAGCCGGGGCACGGCTGCAGGAATCTGGCATGCAAGACCCCAACAACGAATCATACACTTTTGGGCACGAAGAATCTTCATGGACTTTCGGTAGGGCACTGCTCAAGCAACTCCGAGGCTGCCAGAGCACATCTTCCCTGAACTGGACAAACACGCCGGCAGGGGCTCGCGACTGGTATGTTGGGGCTGGCGCGAATCGCGAAGTGGGGGTCCTGCCGTTGACAAAGTCTCCGACTGAATGGGATCATTTGGCAGCAATTTTCGGGGAGGATGCCGTCGAGCTTTTAATTGCGGCAAGCCACAAACTACTGAAACTCGTCTGGTCCAGTCGCAGCTACTTCGGCTTGCCACTGGAAGGTGGGAACATGGCCTCGTGTTCTTGGGGACCCATGCTTGCATGGATAAGATACAGTAGGTACTTCTGTAAGCAGGGTGGAAGCCAGTCCGTGCACCAGCTAATGAGTTGGCATTTTCCAGCCTATTCGTTCTTCAGTAGCGAGCTCACAGCTAGCATGCTTTTGTGCGAGTTGAAAGTGGCTTTCCGTGCTTACTGGTGATGACAGCACATTCCTCGTCACCCATGCTGAAAAACCTGTGTGAAACTTGCCTTGCAGCCTGAAGTTGCTCCGCTAAGGTCTGCAGCCAAATGTTTGGCGCACCCAACCTCAACCTCGAGCTCTGACATCAAATGCACTTGACACTCCAGCCTCTGACGAACCCTAAAGACCTGCACTAGACCGTGGGCCACAGGGGTGAAGTCACGTGATCGGCAGCAGGGGTGGAGGAGGGCCTCTGTTGAGGTCTGCTGGGGGTGTAACCTGGCCACAGGAAGGGCTGGGACGTGGGAGGGGGCTGGGAAGGAGTGGCCGGGAGGGGTGCAGGGAAATGGGACACGAAAACTCAAGGGCTACAGGGGTCTGCGGGCTTCTGGTCCTGAAGTAGTGAGGTTTTGAAGGGTTCTTGGCACATCAGAAAGCAAGGTCTATGTGCATCTAGAAGATATTTCAAGCACTGCAAGCTGGCGTGGCTGCAAGGTGAGACCACTTCATATAAACATGATGTTGCGAGGCACCCGACGTGGCTGACTCTATGGTCATGAGTCATGACTAAAGCAAGCCACATGATTCATGCTCGTCTGGGAGAAGTGGGTGGGGATGCAGGGCCACCAGCCCTCGTCAACCTCAAAAGGACATGGGAGAAGCGCACATGCTTGCTTGGAATTGCCGACTGAACCCCAGCCGATTAGGCTTCATATCAAAAGCAGCTTGTTGCCGACGCAGCTGTCTGCGGCAGGTCCACTGCATTTGCTTCCCTGCCTCCGCCTTTACCGCATCCTCCACTTTCGTAACTCGACAGGAAGTTCGACAAGGTGTACTCATCGTGCCGATTCGGATCCTGGATGCATGTAAGGAGGAAACGTGAGGTTTCTTGTGAGCGATAAGTGCAAACTGTCGCTCAAAAGCACAACTTGCCATTTGCCTTGACTCCGTTGTGCTGTTCTTCGCAGTAGCTCCACCATGCCTGTCGTTGCGGGCATCTGTCGGGGTTCTCATGTCAGATTGAATGCAGACCGCAACTGCTCCCTTGCCTTTCCACCAACAGCTGAGCTGAAATCCCTTCTGGGTTGAAATGCCCGACTCGAGTGAAGATGCTGATGGCCTGCTTGGCATTCTCGTCCGTTCTCTGCAAGCTTTTGATTCGATCGACGAGCTCTGCCTCGTGCACAGCAACTTTCGATCTCTGCCACACTCGCGACTCGCAGGCCTGCCTTCTGCGCCATGACTCAAAAGCCCCAGAAAGGCTCCAATTGCAGCTTGAGCAGGCTGGCCGGCCGGCTTTGTTCACATCTCATGAACATGCGGAAACTGAGCTTCGAGTCAAAAACCTTCGGGTTAGACTCCAGCAACTGTAGGTAGCGCATCGGGAAAATCTCTGTTCTGACATCACGCCGAGCTCAAAGCCACCTCTTTGTCCTCTTTGCTACCAAGCCCGCACAGAACGGAGTTTGAGCAGTGCGAAGACTAGTCACTTTTCCGCTCAGCCGTTGGCTTGAACTCAAGGGGCCCCTGCGGTCAA